ACACCGATCAAGGAAACCACGTAAATTCCTATGTGTTCTTTAAGTTCCGATTCTCTTTTCATCGTTCCTAATCTCTCCGTTTGATAATCAACATGGTATCAGACCTTACCAGTATGGATTCTGATCATATCAGTACTCGTTTGAACTCCAAAATTTTTGCACTGTGGGAGTTTCAATTCCGTGTGTTTGGTGAAGGCAAAGCCCTTGTCGGGCTGTTGGATGGTTCGATGAAGAAGCCCGTTGTCCCTCCGTTGATGGAACAAGAAGCTCTGAAGTGGATCCAGAATGACGCTCGCGTTCGCTCCATGATCATGAACTCTGTCGACCCACCGCCGCGTTCTCGGTCTATGTCTTCTTCCCACCGCTGCCGCCATGTGGAAATCGTTGGCGGCCACTTATTCTTCCACCAGTGCCAATCGCAAGTTCGAGCTGGAGGTTGAGCTTGCAAATCTTCACCAGGGCGAGCTGGACGTCGCATCGTATTTCCATACTGCTCGGCTGATCTGGACCGAACAGGATTTACTCTCCGCCTCTCTGCTTTCCCAGCCGATGCCGCCAGAAATCCAGAATGAAATGAATAAAATCCGCCTCCTTCAGTTCTTGATGTGCCTCCGACCCGAGTTCGAATCACTTCGTGCCACACTCCTCAATCGTGAAGCCCTGCCGATTGACGGCGTGCTTGCTGATATGCTCCGAGAAGAAACGCGCTAGCGTACACAAACGGTCCTCGACGTTCGCCCTGGGCGGGGCGACTCAGCCGCTGCCGTTTTTAGCTCCCTTCCACACGCCAACTCTTGCACTGGCCTGCTGCCGAGGCCAAATTCCAGTGTTGGCCTACTGCCGAGGCCCAACTCTTGTACTGGCTTGCTGCCGAGGCCTAATTCCCATGCTGGCCTTGAAGATATGTCCAAAGAGTCCACCGAGAAGCTGCTTTTGATGTCGATCCAATGCTACCGTCGTCCTCTCTCTGAAGTGGAGTGTCATCATTGTTGGGAGAAGGGTCACACTAAGAAGTATTGTCGTGAGCGCAATTTTTGTGTTTATTCTAAGAAGCGTGGGCATATTATTGCAGATTGTAAGCTTCTCCAAGAAAGAATGGCGGATGGCAGTGCCTATAGTGGCGATGGTGGCTCTCGCGGTGGCTCGGGTTATGGTGGCAGCAGCTCGCACTCCTCTTCTCGCCCAGCATACGCCACGAACATTGCTCCTAGTAGTGGTGTGATGGTGACTTCGGCTGTTCTTGAACAACTTGTGAACAAGGCCATTTCATCTGCATTTGCCAGTCTCCAAGCCTCGGGTACGTGTTCTAAATGGATTCTTGATTCGGCTTGTTTTAACCATATGTCTGGTGATCGTTCTGTTATTAAGGATATTCGTTATGTTGATCATATGGCTTTCCAAGTCGCAAATGGTGCAAAACTGCAAGTCTCCGACATAGGTTCAGTCAATGATTCTCGTATCGATTTACCGTCTACGTTTCATGTTTCGAAGCTAGTTCCTAATTTAGTTTCTGTGGGTCAACTTACTGAACAAGGCTATCGGGTTATTTTTGCTCCTACTAGCTGTGTTGTGCAGGACCTGACGAGGGGGAGGGAGCTCGGGAAGGGTAGTAAGAGAGGCCGTGTTTTTCTGTTGGACGAGCTCGTTTCACCACCACCACCACCATCATCAGTCTCTGTTCCCTCATCATACTCGGTGTCTAGTGTGTCCACCTTTCTTGTTTACTCGAGTCTTAGCGATCAAAAATTTCATTTGTGGCATGCCATACTGGGCCATCCTCATTCTAGTAGACTTGTAGCCATGTTTCGGCAAAATTTATTTGGTTCTATTTCTAAACTGGATCGGGTATCAGATTTTGCTTATCAATGTTGTGTTGAGGCCAAAACTACTCGCATTTCCTTCCCTTCGAGTCAGACTATTATTACTGAACATTTCCATTTAATTCATACTGATCTCTGGGGTCCGAGTCGAGTTACCTCTCGTAATGGCTACAGGTATTTTTCATTGTTTGTTGATCATGCTACTAGATATACATGGGTCTACTTTTTGCGTCTTAAATCTGACCTCTTATCGGTTGCCACTGAATTTTTACAAATGATCAAGACTCAGTTTGATAGAACCGTTCGTATAGTCCGATCTGATCCTGGTGGATAATTCAGTTCACTTCCTCTTTTGAATCTCTACTCTTCTCTTGGTATTCTTGCTCAAAAATCCTGTCCCGGTGTTTCTCAGCAAAATGGTTTGGTAGAGCGTAAAAATCGCCATGTTTTAGAAGTCACTCGCGCTCTACTTGTAGAGTCTCATGTTCCCTCTTCTTTTTGGTCCGAAACAGTATCTACTGCTGTTCGGTTAATCAACTACCCGATCACACCTGTTCTTGGTCAGTCCTCTCCTTACTTCAAATTATTCTCCAAACATCCACCTTATTCTCGTCTTCGTATTTTCGGTTGTCTTTATTTTGTCCTCCTTCCTCGTTCTAAACGTACCAAACTATCTTCTAAAACTGCTCGTTGTGCCTTTCTTGGATATAGTGACATTTATAAAGGTTATCTATGCTATGATCCCACTCTTAAACGCATTCGTATAGCCTGTAATGTCGTGTTCATGGAAAATCTTATGTACTACTCTTCCTCCTCTTCTTCCACCCCTTTGTTTGATACTTCTCTCAGTTGTCCATCCTTCACTGACTTTGATGATGATGATGAGGTTCCCGATATGGCCTTGCTACTTGATCCCACCCTGCCTCCCTCCCCTCCTCCCACGCCGCCGACGTCTCCACCGCCCTCGCCTCCTGTTGTTCTGCCCCGTCGCTCCAATCGGTCTACGTTGGGTGTTCCTCCTCGCCGCCACCACGATTTTGTCACCTATGGCGTCTCCTCCATCCCTGTTCCTACTCGGTATTCCCAGACGAAGGAAAGGAGGCGCTTGCAGCTAACCAGACTTGGGTGGTTGTTCCACGCCCTGTTGATGCTCCAGTTGTGGGTTCTCGGTGGGTGTACACTCTTAAGTTTCTTCCCGATGGTACTCTTGAGAGCTTTAAGGCTCGGGTTGGTGCTCAGGGGTTCAGTCAGGAGTATGGCCTCGATTTCGAGGAAACTTTTGCCCCTGTTTCTAAGATGGTCATTGTGCGCACTCTTCTTGTTGTTTCTTATGTTCGACAGTGGCCTCTTTATCAGTTGGATGTGAAGAATGCATTTCTGCATGGTGATCTTTAGGAGACTGTGTATATGGAGTTATCGCCTGGGTGTGCTCCTGACTCCAAGGACATGGTTTGTTTACTTCAACGTCCTCTTTATGGTCTTAAATAGGCTCCACGCGCTTGGTTTGATAAGTTTCAGTCCACTGTGTTGGGTCTGGTTTTTCAGCAGAGTGCTAACGACCCTTCTCTTTTCACTCCTCGATCTACTCGTGGTCTGGTGGTCCTACTTCTTTATGTTGATGATATGATTGTCACTGGCGATGATGAGGATGGGATCCGGTGTCTTACTTAGGGGCTCCACGCCTCATTCTCTCTTAAGGAACTCGGTTCACTTTGTTACTTCTTGGGGCTTGAGGTTCAGCGTTTTCATGATGGTATTCTTCTTAGCCGGACAAAGTACATCGATGATCTTCTTGATACAGCGCAGTACATTGATTGCACTCCAGTCTCTACTCCAATGGAACTTAACCTCAAACTTGGCGGGAGTCCAGTGATTTGTTTCCTGATGGAGGCAAGCTGTATCGTAGTATTGTTGGGAGCCTTATCTATCTTACTTCTACTCGGCTCGACATTGCATTTGCCGTTCAAGTGGTCAGTCAGTTCATGTCTGCTACTCGTACTGATCATCTTGCTGTTGTTCATCGACTTCTTCATTACCTTAAGGGTACTCACGGGGTTTGCTTGTTTCTCCCGTTTACTGGCTCATTGGTACTTCAAGCTTTCTCTGATTCAGACTATGAAGGATGTGTGGATACCCGTCGTTGCACGACGGGGTGGTGCATTCGCCTTGGTAATTCCATCATATCTTGGCTCTGTAAGAAGCAGGACCGGGTCTCTAAATCCTCGACTGAGGCGGAATATCGGGCGATGTCTAATGTGACTTCTGAGTTAGAATGGCTACAACGGTTGCTTGGTGATTTTGGTGTTGCCTGCGAGGTCCCTATGCAGCTTCATGTGGATAATACTAGTGCGATTCGGATTGCCACCAACCCTGTTCTTCACGATCATACTAAACATATTGAGGTTCATGTTCACTATATTCGTGATCTATTCCGGGCCGGTGTCATCCGTGTATTCTATGTGTGTTTGTAGGATCAGGTTGTTGATATACTTACTAAGGCGTTCACTACTAGTCGTCATTCCTATCTTGCTGGCAAATTGATGATGCGAGACCTCCATCAATTTGGGGGAGGCTGTTGAGTTATATATTCTCGTTATGTTCATGGGCTGTGGCCCAATTGGGTTTACGTTGTATTATAGTAGTGTAGGCCTAGTTAATTACCCTACCCAAAGTCGATTTCCATCTGTGCATCTTAGCTAGGGTTAGGAGATTGTATATATAGTTGTCATGAACCTTCTACCAAAACTAAGTTAAATAAGAGGGTTAATAGCTTCGGCAGTAAACTAGTCTTGATCACACCGATCAAGGAAACCACCTAAATTCCTGTGTATTCTTTCCGTTCCGATTCTCTTTTCATCGTCCCTAGTCTCTCCGTTTCAACACACACAATTTGTGTTTCTTGCGAATCCCGGCCGGTATATACACCCGTGCATGCATGCAGTCAGCATTCACTAAAACCAAAAGATGATGATGTATATAAGCATCCAGTTTCCAACAAACTTATCAACCCAGCCCACATGTGAAAAGAGAAAACGCAATTTGTGTTTTTTGCCCATCCAGGTATAGTTTGTTATGATTCCCTTCTGATCCCTCCACGATGTAATACCTAAAATTCATCCTTGGCTCTCATTATAAAGATCGTTGGTAGCAACATATAGGTCACTTTACTATCATTCCTCACTGCCATCTAGCTCATTCCTTTTCCAAAAAAGCCCTAACGAGATTCCACAATGTTCCGAGTTATGATCATCACTTCCACAACCATCCTCCTGCTGCTGCTGCTGGCACGACCACTTCCGGCGACGGACTCCTCCTCCTTCGATGCCGTGTACATAGTGTACACGGGTGCTGCAAACCCGGCCAACTTCGCTGTCAAGGAAACCGTTCTCAACTCTCTACTCGAGAGGTGTGACTGACATTTTTTTGTACATCGAACGATGTTTGTGTTTCTTTTAGTAATATTTAACTGTGGTCCGGTCCCCGTTTGTTGTAGCCGGCGGCGGTGGAAGCAAGAGATGGAGGTTCTCATGACTTATAGCCACGGGTTGTCGGGCTTCGCAGCCCGTCTCTCGCCGGAGGAGGCAGCTTCTGTTTATTGGGCCATCCATCCCCGGTTCCAGCCCACGAGGAGAAGGACGCAGCCCACGTCAACAGTGCAGCCTTGGTCCACGTTAGCCATGCAGGCCATGTTGCTGTTAGGAACGTGGAGAATACTACTCCTAATACTCCTTGTGTATGGAATCATAATTGTACCCTAGATGCTACTGATGATGGGTATAAATTTGTAACTGCGGCTGTAAGCCGCAACCAATCAATAATAACATAAGATCATATTCCCGTGGATGTAAGCCTCACACACTGTGAGGAAGAACCACGTAAAATCGACGTCTCTATTTCGTATTGTTTCGTACTATTTATCATGGTATCAGAGCTGTGAAAAGGTCCAGCTTCGTGTTGCTTGCCCGCCATGAGTCTCGACGGTGAAGATTCCAAGGGGACACCGTCTGGCGGCGCTTCGGTCAAAATCGAAGATCCCCTTCCTTCCTTCTACTTTCTCTCTCCTTCGGATGGCCCTGGCAATCTCCTGGTCGGTGATGTGTTGACGGCGTCCAATTACGGCGAATGGGTCCTCGATATGAAGGATGCCCTAATCGCCAGGAACAAGTTTTGCTTCGTTGATGGTACTGTTCCCAAGCCGTCTGCTGCGTTGGAAAGGGCTGCTTGGATCCGCTGTGATGCGATGGTGAAAGGCTGGTTAAAAACTTCTATGGACAAAGAGATCCGTAGCAGTATTCGCTTCGCCGAGCACGCTGCCGGGATTTGGGCTGACCTGCAGGAACGCTTCGGCAAGGGTAGTTCTTCGCGCGCCTATGAACTGCGCCGACTCATCAGTCTTCTCCAACAAGAGAAGCACACCGTCTCTGCTTTCTACACTCGTCTGCGTGGTTTTTGGGAAGAAATCTCCCAGATCGAGCCGCTCCCTATTTGCGAGTGTGGAAATTGTACCTGTGGCCTCTCAAGAAAGGTACGTGAGCTGCAAGACACCACTCGCCTATATGAGTTTCTAATGGGGCTTGACGACACTTTTGGCGCCATCCGCTCCCAAATCCTTGCCATGCGTCCCGTTCCAGTCCTGGGAGAAGCTTTTCATATGCTTCTCAATGAGGAACAGCAGCGCAGCGTCACTCAGAATCGGAAGGCTGCTCCTGAAGCCGCCGTCTTTGCTGCCAGTGCAGTCAAAATCGCGTTTCAAGTCGTAAAAACGTACGTTTTTACGTATCTAGGTCACCAAAACGTTTCAGTTTCTACCTAAAAACGTTCATGTTGTAAAATCGCTCAAAATCGTTAGTGGAAACGTTAAAATCGATGAAAACGGTTAAAAACGCGTTTTATTAGCGTTTTTGTGCGTTTTCGCCCAATGACCAGGAAATGCAAAGTTTCATGAAAATAACGTCGTTTTGGCGTTACAAAATTAAAAAAAAAATGCGAAAGGAGGTATCGCCGTATCGGGCTCATCATCGAGCATCTCCCAAACCTGAAAATTTCAATCCCTAATTGACAATGGAGGGCTACGAGCAGGGAAACCGGATGAGGGTGACCAGTCTCCATCGCGCCGCAGACACGTCGCGGCCTCCTCCGTCGCTGCAGACACGCCGCTGCTTCCTCTGTCTCCGCAAACACGTCGCGACCTCCACCACCGCAAGCTTCGAGTGGCGTCCACCGTTCGCAAGCTCCGAGCAGCCTCCACCATATGCCATCAGACACGTGGCATCCACAGTCTCTAGATGCAGCTCGGCGCCGAAAAAACAAAGAAGAATCGCCTACTTCTAATATACCCGCTGCTGCTGTTTCATTTTCATTGGATTCATTGGATCGGGTCCTTTACTGGATAGAAGCTAGCTAGCTATCAACTTATAATTCATTTTATTATTATTTTGACAACAACTAGCTAGATATCAACCCCAGGAAAGCCTGTCATTGTGTGTTTAGTTAATTGCCATTGTATATATGGTTTCTTCTCTTGTTCGGTTGGCTTGGTTTTTGTTAGAAGTGATTTATTATTCATTTTAGTGTGAATGCTAAGTATGAATGCTAGGAATGGCAAGTATGAATGGTAGGAATTATTGCTCAACATTTCTTGTGGTTTGTTTGGCAAGTATGAATGGTAAGAATTAGGATATAAGCACTTTTCTTATTTATTCATTTATCTGAAATTTGTCATATTTTGCATAGTATATGCCGGACTTTACTGATTTTTAGCTATTCTACAGGATGCATCAAAAACTTATGTTTTTACGTTTTGATTCTACGTTTTACGATTTTACTCATTTTCCGTTTCTAGGTAGAATCGCGCTTTTAACTGCATTGTTTGCTGCCAAGGGAGACTCGGACAAAAGCTCTCGTGGTGCGGGGGAGCAAAAGGAGCGTGTCCGTTGTACTCACTGTCAACGCATTGGGCACACGCGTGATACTTGTTACAAGCTGATTGGTTATCCTCCTCGTGATGACCAAGGAGAGAAACCTCCTCCCCGCCGCAAGCCTCGCAATGCAGCTGATGGTATTCTTGGCCGAGAGCCTAAAGCTTCCCAGGTGGACTCCGATCACAGCCCCGTCCCTGGCTTCACGATGACCCAACTTGAGCAGCTCAAGTTGTTCTTTGCCGGTGGAGAGAAGTCAGCGGATGACCCGGCAGCTCACATGGCAGGTACGGTTTCTTATGAATCTGAATGGTTGCTCGATTCCGGTTGCAACGAGCACATAACTATGGATGAATCATTATTCTCTCATAAAGATATTCCAGCGCATAGCCAACCTGTGCGCATTCCTAATGGTGATAGCATTCCTGTGAAACATATTGGTTCAGTCAAACTGCAGGAAGGTTTCACTCTTGATCGCGTCTTACATGTGCCTGAATTTCGATGTAACCTCATCTCGGTCAGCAGGTTGACTAAGGACAATCATGTTGCTTTGATCTTTCTTAACAATTTTTGCGTACTTCAGGACTTACGCTCGAGGAACTTGATTGGGATGGGTGAACTCCGTGATGGGCTATATTACCTCCGCTTGTTTGGACATGGGCGAACGCAAGCGTGTGCTGTGGGGCGTGGTAGCTCAGTTTCTGCTGTTCTTTGGCATGCTCGTCTTGGGCATCCATCCCCGGAGAAAACTTTACATTTGAGTCGGTTATTGTCATTTAATGTTGATTCGACTACTGGTCCGTGTCACTCTTGTTTAAGGGCCAAACAATCTCGAGAGCCTTTTACTTCGAGCATGATTAAAACTTCGCACCGTTTTGATCTCATTCACGTTGACATTTGGGGTGGTTATAAGGTTGCTTCGCTTAGCGGTGCTCATTATTTTCTCACTATTGTGGATGATTTTACTCGTGGTGTTTGGGTCTATTTATTGCGCTACAAATCCGATGTAGAGCGTTATTTACTCCAGTTTTGCAGCATGGTTCACACCCAATTTGGCTGCAAAGTTAAGCGCATTCAGGCTGACAATGGGGGTGAATTTCAGACGACTGGGCTGCTCGATTACTATGCTCAGGAAGGCATCCTCCTTCAGACCTCGTGCACAGATACCCCTCAACAGAATGGGGTGGTGGAACGTAAGCATCGGCACATTCTTGACACCGCTCGCGCACTCCGATTTCAGGCTAGTCTGCCTGTTCGTTTTTGGGGAGAATGCATTCTCACGGCGGTTTATTTGCTAAATCGTCTCCCCACCAAGGCCACTGGTAAGACTCCATTTGAACTCTTGTTTGACAAACCTGCTACTTATTCACATCTTCGTGTTTTTGGGTGCTTGGCCTATTACAAAGATACGCACTCACACTTGGACAAGTTTGGCGAAAGAGGTCGTACTGGGCTGTTTTTAGGCTATGCCGCTAGCCAAAAGGGGTATCGCATCTATGACTTGGTTTCCCGTCGTATGATTACCTCTCGTGACGTTAAATTCCAAGAAAGCATCTTTCCATTCCAAGATGGAACCCAGCATGCCCTCCACTGGATACCTCATCCCATGCCTGCTCCTCTTTTGGACGATGTGGATTCCTCCCCCATCGTGGAGCCCGGTTTTTCCCCTCCTGGGCCCGCGGCCCCTCTCCCCGAGTCGGCATCACCTGGGCCTCCCTCCTCTCCCGCTCCGGTTGGGCCGACCGCGCCTGCTGACGGCCTGGAGGCCAGCTCGCCCCCTCCTAGCCTGTTTGGGCCTCCCAGCCCAACTTCCCCCAGCTCTCCCAGCCCGACCGCGAGCTCCCCTCCTGGGCCGCTTGGGCCTACCCAGCCCAGCCCGGTTCCAGCTACCATGGCGCCTTCCCCCCCTGCAGCCCCAGCTGTTCGACGTGGAGACCGTGTGCGCCATCGGCCCAAATACCTTGAGCACTATGACACAGACTTTCCCTCTGATTCAAGACAGGGAAGCACCATTAATTCTGTTCGTTACCCCCTTGATGCTTCTGTCAACTATGCTCACTTTACGACTAACTATCGTGCTTTTCTTGCAGCTCAAACCCGCTTTGACGAGCCTCGCTTCTTCTATCAGGCCGTCCGCGAACAGGTTTGGCGCGAGGCAATGATTCGGGAAGTTCGTGCGTTGGAAGCGAATGGTACATGGACTCTTGTTTTCTTACCCCCCGGTAAGCGTACCATTGATGCCAAGTGGGTCTTCAAGATCAAATACTACCCCGATGGGACTATTGAGCGCTTCAAGGCTCGATTGGTCGCAAAAGGGTATACCCAGATTGAAGGCCAGGATTTCCACGACACCTTTGCTCCCGTTGCTAAGCTGGTCACTATCCGTTGCCTCATTGCTATTGCGGTTAGTCGTGGTTGGCATCTTCACCAGCTCGACGTTAATAATGCTTTCCTCCATGGTGATCTTGAGGAGGAAATATATATGGAGATTCCCCCAGGTTTTCGCAAGCCTGGTGATACACGTGTTTGTCGCCTCCACAAGTCCTTGTATGGACTGCGCCAGGCCTCACGTCAGTGGTACCAAAAGTTCACCACCGCTCTTTGCGAGTTTGGTTTTCGTTCTTCTCCGGCAGACGCTGCTCTATTTATCTACCAACGGGGGAGCACCTTTGTCGCTGCCTTGATCTATGTGGACGATGTCGTCCTAGCTGGCAATGACTTGCCTTTTATTGAGCAGGTGAAGCAGTTCCTTGATCAGAAGTTTAGCATCAAGGATCTTGGGATCCTCCGTTACTTCTTGGGCATTGAGGTTGCCCGGACCTCAGATGGTGTTGTTCTCAGTCAGCGCAAGTATGCTCTTGATATCCTCGAAGATGCAGGAGTCGAAGCATCTCGCCCCAGTCCGTTTCCTATTGAACAGAATCACCAGCTTACTCGGCCTAGTGATGACTTATTGGCCGATGCCTCCTCTTACCGTCGCCTCATTGGGCGACTCCTCTACTTGACGGTGACAAGACCAGACATCACCTACGCCGTCAATATCCTCAGTCGCTTCGTCCATGCTCCCAGTCAGATGCATTGGGATGCTGCTCACCGGATTCTTCGTTATTTGAAGACTTCTCCAGGTCAAGGGTTGTTTTTCCCCCGGACAAGCGATCTGCGTCTCACCGCTTACTGTGATGCTGATTGGGGTGGCTGTCAGAGCTCTAGACGCTCGACCACGGGTTTCTTCATTAGTTTGGGCGGCGCACCCATTTCTTGGCGCACCAAGAAACAGAATGTGGTTGCTCGCTCTTCTGCTGAAGCCGAATACCGTGCCATGGCTACCACGGTTAGTGAAATTATTTGGCTTCGCTGGTTACTTAAGGAACTTGGCGTTTCTCAGGCTGCACCTACGCCTCTGTTCTGTGATAATCAAGCGGCTCTGCATATTTCTCATAATCCTGTCTTCCATGAGCGCACCAAGCATGTGGAGATGGACTGCTACTTTGTTCGCGAACGTGTGCAGGCTGGTGATGTCCTTCCTGTCAAGATTCACACGGATCGTCAACTCGCTGATATGTTTACTAAAGGTCTCGGTGCTGACCGCTTTCATTTTCTTCTCTCCAAACTGTGCATTCGTGACCTTCATGCGCCAGTTTGCGGGGGAGTATTGGGCCATCCATCCCCGGTTCCAGCCCACGAGGAGAAGGACGCAGCCCACGTCAACAGTGCAGCCTTGGTCCACGTTAGCCATGCAGGCCATGTTGTTGTTAGGAACGTGGAGAATACTACTCCTAATACTCCTTGTGTATGGAATCATAATTGTACCCTAGATGCTACTGATGATGGGTATAAATTTGTAACTGCGGCTGTAAGCCGCAACCAATCAATAATAACATAAGATCATATTCCCGTGGATGTAAGCCTCACACACTGTGAGGAAGAACCACGTAAAATCGACGTCTCTATTTCGTATTGTTTCGTACTATTTATCACTGTTGCAGCCCAACCAGGAGTCGTGTCGGTCTTCCCGGACACCAACTTGCAGCTCTTCACGACAAGATCCTGGGACTTCCTCGAAGCGTTGACTCAATCCAATGCCGCCGCATCTCCTCCGCTCCTTTCTTCAAGGGCACCCGACAGCAGCAACGTTGTGATAGGTTTCTTGGACACCGGGATATGGCCCGAGTCCGAGAGCTTTCGACAAAACCTGACGAGCATCCCACGTGGCTGGAAGGGTACCTGCGTCACGGCAAGAGACTTCAACAAAACCGCCTGCAATGGCACGTAAGCAAGCCACCCTAACGAATAATCTCAAGTTTATTTTTCGTATATCTAATAAAATTATATAACAAAGGGTTTATATAGATAAATATGGTACTGACGTGCAATACAATAACTTATTATCTCACTTGGTTTTTCTTTTATTTTTCATGGTGTACGTTGAAAAGGAAAATCATAGGCGCCAAGTACTACATCAGCCACAGCCCAAGAGACCGAGACGGACACGGGAGCCACGTGGCGTCAACGGCGGCGGGAGTGGCGGTGGACAAGGCTTCGTTCTACGACGGCCTCGCTGCGGGCACCGCCAGGGGAGGGTCGGAGTCCGCCAAGATTGCCATGTACAAAGTGTGCGAGAATAGGAACTGCCCGAAAACGGCCATCCTCAAAGCATTCGATGACGCCATCGCCGACGGCGTCCACGTCATTTCCGTCTCGCTCGGCGATCCCCATCCCGACTTTCTCAGCGACCCGGTCGCCATCGGAGCCTTTCACGCCGTCGAGCACGGGATCACGGTCGTTTGTGCTGCCGGAAACAGCGGGCCCCGGCCGTCCACGATCTTAAACGATGCGCCGTGGGTCGTGACCGTGGGCGCCTCCACCGTCGACAGGGCTTTCCGCTCCGACATCCTCCTGGGCGGAGGCGAAGTTGTAAAGGTTCGTGCAACTTTTTGTTTATTTCTTTTTTTTTTTCCTGTATTATTTTTGAAAACGATAATTAATTTCATGAGTATGGTTTCAACTTTCAACAAAACATACAGGGGGAATGGATACGGCTTCCCGATCTGAGTCGATCGCCGATATACCCACTCATCGACGGCCGATCAGCAGCCAAGGCAGGCAATTTGTCCCGCGCGGCAAGGTTGTCCTTAATTAATTTGTTTATATTTATATAATTCCGATGGCGTGATGAAGATAAAACAAAATAATAACCAAACAATTTTTCGATTCTAATAACTACAGAAGATGCGAACCCGGTTCCCTAAGCAAGGCGAAAACTAAAGGCAAAATCGTGATCTGTGATATCAAAGACCGCAACGGCTTCAATTTCAAAGACCAATTGGACAAGGTGGCGCTAAGAGGCAGCTTAGGTATAATACTTGCTAACAACGATTCCAAAAGGGTGGTCCAATACCAATGGGACTTTCCCCTTACTAGGGTCGGCTCGAGTGGAGCTGCACAGATTCTCAACTATATCAAAACTACTAGGTACGTACGTACGTGCTTACATTACATACATGCATGACTTTCCCATTTTTATATTATTATCCAAACTTAAAAGTTGATAGATTACTCATCATGACCAATGTACGTAGGAACCCTTTGGCAACCTTCCTGCCGACGGTAGTTGTGGGAAACTACACTCCAGCACCAGAAGTTGCATCCTTCTCGTCCCGGGGACCTTCCAGCAACTCGGCCGACATTATCAAGGCATGCAAATGATCTACATCGATCTTTCCCATATCACAATCTTGTTTGTAGTTAGTTAGTTAGCCAATGATACGATAGTTTGATATTCGGTTCTTGCCGCGCGCGCAGCCAGACGTAACAGCTCCTGGCCTCGCCATCCTCGCCGCCTGGATAGGTGATCGGCCGCTTGATGAGAAGCCGAAAGGAAGGCCCCAATCAAGCTTCGAAATCGACTCCGGAACATCCATGTCGGGGGTCGCGGCCAACATCAAGGCCGCACACCCTGCCTTCACCCCATCTGCCATCAAATCAGCCATCATGACCACAGGTAGAAACAAAACGTTGTGAAATGGATAGATCAGGAATTCTTTTTTTTTTTTTTCCCTCTCCTATTTATCGACCTAATTATGTTTTTATTTCGGTATTGTTTCAAGCTTTTTCAAACGACAATCTGGGATCCCCGATCACCAGCAACAACGGAGACGAGGCCACCCCGTACGATTTGGGAGCAGGGGAGCTGAACCCAAGGGGATCGCTGAACCCGGGACTCGTGTACGAGACGAGCGTGACCGACTACCTGATTTTCATGTGTTACCATGGGTACAACACCAGCACTGTAAGGTCGATGTCCAAAGTTGCCCGATCGACAGGCTTCTCGTGTCCTGATGACTCCGGACCGGACCTCATCTCGAACATCAACTACCCATCGATCTCGGTCCTCCTGCGAGGCGCCAACCAGATCAGGACCGTTCCCAGGGTCTTGACCAATGTGGCTGGAAGCGGGAATTGGACCTACAGGGCCGTGGTCAGATTTGGAGGAGCATCGCCATGTGTGACTGTCAAAGTATCCCCAACAAAGTTGCTCTTCACTGAAAACGGAGAGAAGCGATCGTACAAGGTCAAGGTTAGATCAAAGGGTGGTTGTCCTGTAGACAAGGGTGTTGTATATTGTTGATATGACTTGAATCGGATTATCAGCCGCTACGACTGGTAACCGGGGGTCTCGCTGACCGGTCAGCGAGTGGGGTCCAGGGGCAACGCCCCGGTGGGGGTGCGGGGGCAACGCCCCCGGCCCACGGTGTATGGGCTCAATGTTATTTGGGTTCGGGTTCTGGGCCTGGTCTGTAACCGTTTCCTTTGCCAGATTGGATTAGGTTTAGACCCACATGGAGAAGTACTATAAATACTTCTCATACTCCTCTGTAATCTGTAATCTCCTCAGATATAGTGAAACTGGCTCTCTCTCGCCCGTGGACTAGCTAACACACATCGTGTTAGTGAACCACGTAAATCGTGTGTCTGTGTCTTTCGATTCTCGCTCTCGTATTCTTGCTTTGTCGATTCTGGCGATTTCCCGATCCGTAACAGCGCGTTTATAACATATATGGTTGGATCACGTGGACCAACCCATCTTTTAAGGTCCGATCCCCGTTTGTCGTCCGGAGGTAGTTCCACAAAGATTAGCAGCTTATGATCGATATAAATAATTAAGAAACCGAGGACTCCTAGAAAAACCTAACGAATAAAGATAGCTATGCACTTAATTAGCATACCTTTCTGGCTTTCTCTAACGGATTGGATAATGTAATCGTCAATTCTGATAGATTAATAAAAGTTTGTAAGGTTCTTATTAAAAAACATATGGTCCTCTAATAGATTGAATATCATCATTATAAGAAGAAGAATATAATCTTATTCAATTCAGATCGGATACTGATAGAAGTTTTCTATTTTTGAGGAAATGTGGATTAGTTTCACCAAACAAACAGAAATGCTTATAAAATGCTAACGACGCGTAATTATGGGTTCGATTAACTGAAAACTCAGAAAACGTCAATTAATTAAAGAGTGGGATACAAACAAATATAGCATTTCGAACGCCATCAGTCAAATAATTTAAAGGTGCATGACCAAGAGTTATAGGATGGAATAATAGTCATATACGGTTGCGATGTTAAGGGTTTTACTGAAGATTATTTCTCGCATGTATTTGCGGAGAAGTTGAGATTTACATAAATTAAGAAGGTATGTCACCATGTCTCCTTATATATATGTGCATATGGTAGATGTAATAGTTAATATGTCACCCTACTATTGAAGAAAATCATACAAAAGGAAAACAATTTAGCGAGAAATCAACCACTATGAAACTCTCATCATCACCAGCAATTCTATCTGCTCTTCTACTGATTTTTCTCATTCATGGTGATTAATTATCCATATGTCTATAGTTCCATGTCATGCATTTCTCATGTTATTTTTTGGAGTGCCTTCAAAGATATCATCATCCCAGTCATTTCCATTTTTATGCATTTAGTATAAATGATCTCTTCTTTTACTAATTTAGAAATGTTTGCAATGAAAAATAGGGAACGAGGTCGCAGCACTACAACATTGGGGCTCGAATTCCGATCTCTGCAAATTCACTTCTTTCCCTCAAAGGTTTTTGCGTCTTCGAAATGGTGTTTGTACCAACCTGGCATGCAATACCGCATGCAACAACATGTTTGCCATCTTTGGAGTCAATATTGTCGGACGGTGTGAGCATCAATCTTGTGCATGCTACGAGGGGTGCCTCCATCCTTTAGACCCGCCTAAATCCTTTAGACAAGCCGGCACCGCCAGGATATCAGATCCAACATTAAATTGAGAGTTCAATTCGCCAATGAGAAATTATTTTCTGATAGAGCCTTTTTTATTTTCTACCTTCCATTTTGGTAGAATATGGAATCAAGCTAGTTTGTAGCTAGCAATGAAACGTTTAATAAAATTTTAGTGAGTTAATATATTATTCCTTTAATGTTTTTGTGGGGAATGAGATGCCTTGATGTTAGCACCATACTAACCTAAGTTTTAGTTTTTGAATTGAAAATAAATAATCCTAGGGTCATAACTTATTGAGGTTGTTTTCCCAATAAGTCCATGCGTACTCTCCCCCAAGGCATAATTATCTAATTACTCCTCAAATAATTTCTTTGCGATAGAGACTCTATTGATACAGGCTTAGGGATACTTTGTAGAGCATTGGTAGTATGATGATATCGAGATGTGGATATTTACATAGAGAGACTTGATTAGATTCATGCAGTCAGTGATCATCAACGTGCGTACACCTAAAGGCTTAGAAAGATCTAGCGTACGTCGTTACAAGAGTCTTAGCCTATTTTGTTGTAACTTAAAATATGACTATATGCCGTCAACGAGAAGTCATGAGGTCTCACTACATAAATATATATGAGCAAAACTTACACTGTGTCTCACCCGAAATTACAGAAAAGTAAAAGACACTCGAAATTACAAAACAGTAAACTTAGCAAAACAAACTTCAAAAAGCAAAACTAATACAACATTCTTAAAAGACATAACAGTGGAGCTACGCCTATTGAAAGAAGGTGCAGCACTCCAGAACCATATTCCAGACAACCCTTCCAATCATACACTTTGTAAAGTGTTGGCTGCGACTGCTTATTTAATTTAATGAAAAGTGTTGGCTTCCCTCCAAAGTGGCGACAATGGATCAAAGGTGACATATGCTTGTTGAAGACTTCTGTTTTGGTTAATGGTGAGACTTATGGGTATTTCAATTCTGGGAAAGGTGTAAGACAGGGAGACCCTCTCTCTCCGGGTCTTTTTGTTCTTGTTATGGAAGTTCTATCCTTCCTAATATCAAAGCTTCGTGAAGATAAAGGAATTTCAGGCTTTTTCATGGACGTGAGTAGGGGTGTTGGTGAAGTGACACATCTATTGTTTGCGGGCGGCTCCCTCATTTTTTGTGATGCTTCTGCAGAGCAGGTTATTAACATCCTCGCTTTACTCGTCTGCTTCCAGTCCATCACAGGATTGAAGATTAACCTCGACAAGTCTACCATGTACACAATTGGGGATATTCCTGAACCATGGTATTTTGCTTCAATATTTGGGTGTAAATGGAGCAAAGATCCCTCAAGATATCTCGGGCTAGCTTTGGGAGACCGCCCAACTGCTGTTTCTGCCTGGAATTCAGTTGTCGATAAGTATCAAAGGCGACTTCAAGGCTGGAAGAACAAGTGTCTATCCTTCGGGGCTAGGATGACCTTAAACTCCTCTATGCTTAACAGCCTTCTAGTGTAGCATTTTGCAGTTGGTAAAGCCCCAAAGACAGTCGTTAATCGTCTGGAGAATATAAACAAGTGCAAAAAGTTGAGGGCTGCGATCATAGAAACATTTAATGAACCATATCTCATGACAATTCTAAAGGTAAACATGCTTGGGCGAGAGTAGCATACCCACCTTTAATAAAATGCAATGTCTCACTAGCCCCTTTAATTCCACTTCACACTTTTTAGTGGACAAAGATAAAAAGTACATCCTCACGAACACTAGAAAACTCATCTCCTTACCCCAATTTAATTCACATTCTTCCTCTCCTTCTTGATTTATCCATCGAGTGTCGATAGGGGGAAAATTCAAAATTCCAGCCTCGCAACTAGTTCATCAAGATCACATAATTCCAACATCATAGACTCATAGTACTCTGAGGGTGTCAGCTCATGTTGCCTCATGTACCTCAATGACTTGACTGTTATTTCGAGTGGCAGGAATGCCTCATGGCCATATGTCAAAGAGAAAGGGGTCACCTTTGTACTACTACGTGGTGACATCCGATAAGCCCATAAGGCTTCCGACAAGACTTCATGCCACTTTCTCGGGTTATCTTCAATCATCTTAGACAATATACCCTTCACCACCTTGTTGGATGCTTCAGCTTGACCATTGGCTTGAGCGTAGTAAGGAGTGGAGTGTATGATTTTGATGTCGTGTTCTTCGGCAAAAGCCATCACTTCCCCTCCCGTGAACACGGTACCCTGGTCAGCTGCTATGGTGGCTGGCAAGCCGAACCTATGTATTATATTTTCTTTGATGAACTTGATGATTTCTCCTTGATTGACCACTGTCATTGGCTTGGCCTCCACCCACTTGGTGAAGTAATCAGTTGCCAAGATGACAAATGTATGTCTATCAGAAGATGGTGGATAAATCTTTCCAATCAGGTCCATGGCCCATCCCATGAAAGGTCGAGGCTTGATGATAGACTTCAAGTCGATGGCCGGAGCTCTTTGCACCGGGCCATATCGTTGACAGGCCTCACACCCCTTAGCAAAAGCGGCACAATCTTCCCGGATGGATGGCCAGTAGTACCCATACCGGTGGAGTACCCATCTCATAGAAGAGCCTGCTTGATGAGCACCACATATCCCTTCATGAACCTCACCCATGGCTTGTAGGGCCTCCTTGCCCCCCAAGCACTTCAACAGTAAACCGTCTGGTCTCCTTTTGAATAAGACCTCATCCAACAAGACGTAGTTCCTTGCCTTGAATTTGATGGCCTGATCCACATCCCCTGTTGGATTCTTCAAGTATGCTATCAAGGGGGTACGCTAGTCACCGGCATCCTCTTCAATTGTAAACACATCTACCCTTTGCTTAAGTCTCGCATGTAGTGGGTTGAGCGTTCGCACAAAAATTTGCTCTCCCCCTTCATGAGCAAACTCTTTGAACCCCGAAGCTAGTTGTGCTAAGTAGTTGGCCTTGCCATTGTCCTGGCGAGGAACATACTTGATGGAGACATTATCAAAGTGGGTAATTAATATTTGGACATAATCAAGATATGTCTCTAGTATGCAATTGATGCATCGAAATTCACCAAGTACTTGGTAGACTACCAGTTGGGAGTCCCCTTGAATGTTAACACTTTTGACTTTCAAGTCAACAAGCATCTCCAGCCCCACCACTAAAGCCTCCTACTCGGCTTGATTGTTAGTG